TGGAGTAATTAGAAGAAGACCGGTCACGGCACCAAAATGTTAGCTCGTTTCGACGAGCTTAACTTTGTTTATTTATTTCATATGTTAAATCTCTTCAAAATGTCCTTAAAATCACTAGGTATATATACATCCATAGAGAGAAGGAGAAGAACAAGAGAGAAAGAAGGAGAAACAACAATAACAATAACAATACAGTAGAACGAAGAAGGGAGAGAGAAAGAGATAGAGAATCGAGGGTAGGCAGAATGTGAGTCACCGTTAACAGTGACATTCTCAGAAATTTGGCAGCTTGAATTTGGTCCGATCAAATTTTTTTAAGAGTCATTCCACGTAAGCCACCACTGGTGCATAGAGAGATGGCCCAAAAGAGGTCTTAAAATTTTGCTCAATCAAAGATATTCTGATAGAGCGAAGAGTTTCACGAATTTTGACGCAAGTCGTTTTGAAAAATATTGATCCGTTCAATTTTTATAGCTGTTTCCCGAAAGGCACTGAGAATCAGCAATGTCGCCAACGGGGGTCCTAACACGACTATATCTCAAGAATGGAATAATCGATTGGGCTGAAATTTTCTATGGACATATATCTTCATCAGTTATGACTACCATATACGTTTCAGATGAAATGATAGAACTGTTGATTTTGTATGACTCATCCGAAATGAGGAAAAATCCATATTTTGGAGAACATTGCTGCTTCGTAACTCGTTATCGAAAAATGATAGAGATCTGAAATTTTTACTTGAGCTAGCGCACATATCAATATATATTGTCTAAAAATTTCAACTCAATAGAGGCTTCCTTTGGACTAGTGGGATGTTTCGAAAATTGAGTTTGAGATGAATAACATGATTTTCGGACGTGGTGTTCGCCGAAGAAATCAAATTGTTTGAGGACTGAAATTAAGAAGTAGGAAGAGCCGTCTGATGCGTACAACTTCATAAAAATATCAGCCAAGTATATCGAGAAACAGCTTGCAGCAAGGGTCATCCTTAGGAGCTGGAAATGAATATTTGGTCCCGATCATGTATACAAATCTCATGAATGGATTATGCTAGAGAGCTGAAATTTTGGTAAGAAGTAGGCCTCGTTGATTACGTATTCTGACAAAAAATTCAGTTCTCTAGATAGTTACTATCGCTCAGCTAGGCTTCAATAAAATCATGACTTTGACAGGATTCAATCTCCGTAGAAATAGATCTTATAGTATTCCGGCTTGTGCTACGTCAAGGAGCACATATAGTACTACAAACTTATCCAGAAACTGGCTTGGACTCTTTTAGAATTGGTTGGAGAACCTTCTCGAAACATACCTCAAAAAAGATCCCTTTCTATAGAGCAGGGTGTGTGGGTGTGAGTGTGTGAGTATGTGGATGTGGATGTGACTGTTAACCTGTTCTTTTCGCACACCCACACTCACAGCCCCACACCCCTCAGACCCCACACTCTTCACACCCCACACCCCTCACCCA